CCAGCGTGTGCCGTACTCGTGTTCAAATGAACCAATGTCAGCAAATCTGGGACCGGCCTGACGAGCTTTGAAGAATTCTGGATTTTTCTTCAACATGTTCTTTTCCTGGACGCCATCGATGTCGTCGACAAAGTCGAAGGGCTCGACGATCACCGGACGAAGAGAACTGAAAAATAAAAATTAGGTTAAAATAAAATAATAAACATGATACTTGCTTGATCAAATAAAATGGTGTGAAATAAATTCAGTGTTTTGAAAAGTAAAATCAGTGTGGTTCAGAAACACGGACCAAAACAATATCATCATGGAATATTTCCAATTAAGTATTGGAAGTAATCATTTTTTTTAAAAGGATATTACTAATTACTACTTACGAAGTTAAGAAGAAGTATCTATCCTAGCAATGCCTAATTGCTGCCATAGCACCATTTTTCCTTTGATATTCAACAATGCCTTCACCAGTGGATTTGCCCCTTTCATCAATGGTGATGATGCAACGTTCAATCTAAAATTTTACACAATTTTGAGTTTTTGCCAATACAACACACAATATTGTGTTAAGTATATTGTTTCTTTTATCAGATACAATAAATTGCAGCCAAATAATATTTTCATTATATTCAAACGGTAATTAATTTCATCATAAGTGCATGTAATATAAATTAATATATAAATATATTTTTGGAATGTTTAATTGCAGTCAATTAGTCTAAATAATAATAACAATTATAAATATATAATAACTATGTATGTTTTGACATTGCATATGTGTCATCATTCAACAAATTAAAAGTAAAATTAAAAAAAAAAGATTTAATAAAATACGTGGTAAAAATATTTATTTATTCGTCTACATTAATGTGGTCCCCTTCAAAGTAGTCCCCCCCAGATATAATACACTTATGCCAGCGTTTTTTCCAATTTTCGAAGCACCCTTGATATTCACTTTTTGATATGTCCTTGAGCACTCTCAGCGATTCGGCCTTTATTTCTTCAATCGAGGAAAACCGCCGTCCTTTCATGGGTCTCTTCAACTTTGGGAATAGAAAAAGTCACACGGAGCCATATCTGGTGAATTTTTGCACTTTGCAACACTTTATTTCATTTTTTACGCAAAATTTAATACAAATTCTTTGACTTTTCAATTCTTCCATTGTAAAAATCGCCGAGCTCAGAAAAACACGTCGAACCTTAGCGACTACCACAGACAAAGTAAACAGTGAATATAGCTGAAAATTTCATCATACTTTAGGGGCATGTATACCAACACAATAAAAAAAAAATTTTGACAATCAGACACTCCAGACCCGCGAAATTTAATTATTAGTAATTCCGGGTACTTAGACCACGTATATTGATACTAGAAGAAAAATCAACTTATATTGCTTTATAAAAATAATATATATATATATATATATATATATATATATACAGTAGAATCCGCTTAGTATGACATTCAAGGGACGGCGAAAAATCGTCATATTAAGCGGTCGTCATACTAAGCGTACTGAAAAAAAAAAAAACAATTTTTGGCAAATATGTTATTAATTTCAGTAATTTAATACAAAAATTAAGGTAAAAAATGACACATACTAACAAATTGACAAATTTAATTAAAAATATGACATTACAATGCATTTTTTAATGTAAAAAATCTGTAATTTTCGTTTGAATTTTAATTACTGGGTAAAAATATTAAAAAATATAGAACTTTACTAATTCAGTAAATTATAGCAGATGTTATCGCTTCCAAATTTCGAACACCAAGAATGAGCCTACTTATTTTTTGCACGAGGTCGTCCATGCCGGAAGTTGCCAAAGTTTCCATAGCGCGAATCTCGTGCAACATAGAGACCTGAAGGTATGTAGCGACCTGACACACAAGGGTAGTTCACAGTGGTGCCATACCATAACAATGTGCAATGAAAAACATGAACTCTATGTTATCGGAGGTGTAAAATCATGTCGGTCATTATACTTGGACCAAATTTTTTTTCAAAAATGGGTCATTATAAGCGAAATGTCAATGTAAGCGAGGTCAACATATCCGACTAGACAGCTGTTTTTTTAAGAAATTTTTATATGGAAACCAAACTGCCTTTAAAATTACGTCATAATAAACGGTTGTCAATATATACGGCGTCATACTAATCGGATTCTACTGTATATATATAATGAATAAATGTAGTCAAATCCAATAAAAATCTATAATTTCAAAAAATAAGATCAAAAGTTTCAAATCAGAAATTTAATAAAATTTCAAATTATTAACATTGAAGTATTACACCTTTTCTTAAATTTTAGTTTTTTTGGATTTGACTACATAAATATATTATATAAACTTAAAATATTATATACTAGATAGAAAAATAGATAAAACAGAACTTGCAATAAATTTTGAAATTGATAATGTGATCAATTTTAAAAATCGATAACAATACAAAGATACGTAGTAGAAACTAAAAAAAATATGTAGATAAAGTAATTTACAATGAAAAATTTCTAATAAATTTTTAAACAGTATAATATAATTATATTAATTATATCAATTTAATTAAATTGAGTTATAAATTTTAAAAATCATAGTAAATTATGCAATCAAATCCAACGAGACTTTAATTTTTGAAAAAAGTAAGGTTAGAAAATTGTAAAAATTTCTTGAAATGATTTTAAATAATATAAGGGATATAAAATACATAAATATATATATATATATATATATGTGTGTGTGTGTGTGTATGTATATAAATGATAATGTTATGCAATAAAATTTAAAATTTGAAGAAAATAGAACAAAAGTTTCAAATGAGAAATTAAAAAAAAATATAGACAAAGATAAATTTTGAGAAAATTTTAGAAACAATCAGAAATTGTGAAAAAAATTTTGAAATGATTCTAAATATTATAAGGAATATAAAATAAATTTATATTTGTAATGAATGAATGTAGTCAAATCTAAAATTTGCAAAAAATTAAAAGAAAAATCAGAAATTGGAAAATTAATAAAAAAGAAGTTATAAAATTAATTAAAAAAAAAATTATATAGAATAAAGTCATATAGTCTAATAAATTTATAAATGATAATAAATTTATCAAATATAATTGAAGTTACGTAGTCAAATTTAAAAATTGAAATTTGAAACAAATTTAAAAAAAACATTATTTATAATAGGGCATACTGCTAAGATCATTTGTGCTAATCCATTAATAATAAATATAAATTAAATGTTATTTATAAAAAAAAATATTAAGAAATTGTAATCTTTGAAAGTTCGCTGAGCCTGTTAAAAACATTGAATGATGACCCATAAATGTCTAAACTGTAAACTGTAATAAATTGTTTTTTTATTTAGACTATTTGTCTGCAAATAAACATGTTAACAAGAAGAATAAAAAATCTGAGACATTTTTTATTACTCACCGGTCCAAAAATCTCAAACGCCTTATACAACAGCTCATTCGAAACCCACGGTGTGAGATTCTTAATCTTGATGGCAGTGCTGTTGGGTGCAAATCGAATCCTCAGAGGCCTTCCTTTACGAATGCTGCCATCCAATTCACGCTTTGCCTTCTCAGCATTGACTCTGTAGTCCATGCGGATGAATCCAAATGAATGAATTCTCCTTGTTGATGAAATGTTCGCTGGTTTCTCCATAGGGTTTGAACATTTCGATAATTTCTTCCTCTGTAACGTCGTTGGTCAGATTGCCAACATAGAGCCTGCCACGGCCTGTGAATTTAACCTCTGCCATGTCTAGGGGAGGGAGATCCAGCACTGGTCCGGCGAGGGTTTGCAGCTTCTGCTGGAGCATGTGTTCCTGGGGGTAAAGGACATATGGATTAGATCACACTTAAATTCATATTTCTTTAGTTAGGAATAAAATAAAACTACTAATTTACAATCAAAAAGTGGAAGACATTTTGAATTTAATATGATTGACTATTTCATACAATGAAAATTTTTTCATACTATGAACCATTAATTAAGTATTATATAATAAATTTTTTTATTAAATCTTTTCTTTGAATTCATATGCCTAACTTTGTTCTTTCTAATTTTATAAAGCTCAAACAAATTTTAATATTAAAAAGTAAATTTCAAAATGATAATTCATATTAAGTATAAAAAATGAACTCCTAAAATGATTGTATTAATTAATCATTGAGATGTTTCGTAATGTTTATTTAAAAGTTGCATACGAGGTCATGTAATTGAAATTACATGAAGATAAATTATCTGTATATAGAAATGAACTTTATATAAGAAATATAAAATATTTCTCACATTTCAATAAGAGAATCTATTAAAATAAGCTCAAAATAAAATACATTTTAAGACAATGAACTGGAGTAATAAAAATTAATTCACTTCCTCCATAATAATCCTTTTGAAATATATAAATATCTAGCCATTAATTTAAGTAATTGATATTTTATATTTGGAAAGTTTAATTATATAAATTTTAACTGATTATATAATTTTATTTCGTAAAGCTAAGTTCTGTACTTAAACAAATAAATATCCTCATTAAAGTGGAAAATAATGTAAAAGGCCTAATTGATTGCATACCACCACCATTTTAAATGTAGCAGTATTTGGCTTACATAATTATACATTTTTGTGATCAAGCAAATTTGTGCATACAAAATAGTTCACGTTTACCAGTGTTCTTCAATTCATATTAAACCACAAAACAAAGATTGAATAACATTGAATAAGTGTTGTGGCGACGGTTGTTCTGATCTTGACATGACCAAAGTTTCGAAAAAATCTACCATAACATAACAAAAATCCAATATTGCAACAAATTTCTGACTAAATGAAAAATTATTACTAAACATCAAAATAAGAAATTGAGGTTAAGTTTCGACAGTTGCGACAAATGTTTTGACATATATGAATGCTCTGCTGTTGGTATGCCTGCTCAGAAGAATTTCTGATTTTTTGAATGTTGGTACCGTGATTTTTTCGTTTCAGCACTTTATTAATCCGGTGTTTAGAGCCGTGTCACATCGAGCCACTGTCACTTGGATGGCGTTTGAGGAAATGTTGGATTGTTTGCAGTGATTATTAAATGTAAGTATTTATATTTTTATTAGTACTTATTAATTAATAGACTCGTATAAAATAAAGTTTTGTTCTAAAGTAAATAAACTTTCTAAATCTAATAATTAATAAATAATTCATATAACTTAATTTGATTGTAATCATTAATTAATTAAGACTTTTCGAATTAACTTGACAATATTGTATAAAATAAAGTTATTGTATAAAATATTTGACTTGTATAATAGTAAACTTTAGTTTGAAAGTGAATAAACCTTGTTTGTAATAAATAATTTAACTTAATTAATAAATGATTACAATGAAATGAAGACTTTTGGAATTAATTTAATAATTTTTTTACTTAAAAAATATTTAGCAAATATATTGTTTAAAATAAAGTTTTGTTTTAAAGTTAATAAACATTGTTCTGAATAAATAATTGAACTTAATGAATGATTTCAATAAAATGAATAGCTTTCGAATTAACTTTACAAATTTGTTATTTGATTGTAGTTAGTCTAAAAATATTTGATTGTATTTAACTAATAAATTGTTTTTATTTTCAGTAGCTGCATGCATTGGTCATACTTTGATGGCATTGAAGAATTGTGCAAACAAAGAGGGGAAAGTGGCTGCGAGCATCTACGCAAAGTAAGTGTTTTATTAATATTGTAAAGTATTAAAAAGTCCATGTTGATTAATTAACTTGATTAATTATCAAAGACTTTGTGATGAGATACACTTTGTATTTCGATGCAAAGTGTTTGTTAATTAATGAACAAAGACTTTGTGATGAAATACACTTTGTATTTCGATGCAAAGTCGATGTTAATTAATTAACAAAGACTTTGTGATGAAATATACTTTGCATTTCAATGAAAAATCTTTGTCAATGAATTAACTTGTTTTGTTTGTTTGTTTCAGATAAAATGCCTTGTACTGAAAACAAGTCTTGTACGAAGAACCGAGCTTGCTGCAAAAAAAATGATGACGAGTGAAGAAACTGAAAAAAAACTTAGGAGACTTGGGAGACGGCTCAATGTAAGTTGATAAAACTTTGTCATAAATAAAATTATTTATTTATATAATATATGTTTGCTTATAATTTTTAATTTATTTTCAGACTTGGCTGCTTTGAATGCTGATTGATGCAGGTGTTGTACAAAATGAAGAACTTTCACTGGACTTGGTTGCTGACGATGCCTTTCCATAAGACGATGAATTCTGGCCCACACTTGGTAAGTTGCTAAAAATAAGTCGATTATATTTGTTTATTTATGTGTTGAATATTTGACTTATATTTTTGTTTGTTTATTTATAGACTTTGTTTGATGACTTGGATGCTGATGATGCTTTTCCACAAATGATGAAGACTTTCTGGACTTGGATGATGCCTTTGGTGATGACTACTCGGTGTACTTGCTTTAATCGACCTGATTAAAATGTAAGTTTTTAAAAATAAAAAATAATAAAATTAAAGTCTTATTTCTAAAAACTTGAAATACCAAGTGTATTTCATCACAAAGTCAAAGTCAATCAATCATGTAGATTAATTAACCGACTTTGTGTTGAAATATACACTTGGTATTTCAATGCAAAGTCTATGTTAATTAATTAACAAAGACCTTGATGAAATACGCTTTGTATTTCAAGTTTTTAGAAATAAGACTTTAATTTAATTGTTTCTGATACTTATGTTTGTTTTTTCTTCCAGACTTGGACACTTTGGATGGTCTCCCAGACTTTGATGCCGATGATGTCTTCTACAAAATGATCCAGACTTGCCAATTCAGGCTTCGCTAACTGATTGCTGCGTTTTTTCCAACCGACCTGATTAAATGTAAGTGTTTAAAATTGAGACTTGAATTTTATTTCTCATGCAAATGATTTTGATACTTATGTTTTTGTTTTTCTTTACAGATTGATGGATTGAAGACTTGGATACTTGCATCGTCTTCCAGACTTTGCTGTCGATGATGTTCTTCCACAAATGCAAGATTTTCAAGACTTGGCAAATCAAGCTTTGCTGACTATTTGGTGCGTTCGAAATTGTAAGTTCTTAAATTTAAGACTTAGAATTTCGAACGCAGCAAATAGTCAGCAAAGCAGGATTTGATAAGTCTGTATTGCATTTGTGGAAGAAGAACATTATCGACAGCAAAATTTCAAAGTGTGGCAAATGAAGACTTAGCAGACTGCACTCGCTTCAATTGACCTGATCGATCATTGTAAGTTTTTAAAACGAAGACTTTAATTTTATTGCAAAATTGATTTTAATACTTAGGTTTATGTTTACAGATGTTCCTGCAGACTTTGATGCCGATGATGTCTCCGACAAATGATCCAGACTTACCAAATGAATCTAGGCTGACTAGTTCGTGGCTTTTGCTGCAATCAACCTGATAAAAAATAAAACTTTCATGTTTATTTGTTAGTTTGTTTATGTGTTTGTTCACAGATCGATCGATTGATTGATGATGGAGCAGCACAGCCAGTTATTGCTGCAGACTTTACTAAGGTTTGAAAAAAACTTCTATAAATCAAGTGTGTAATGAATAAATTAATTAATTTGTCATTGTTTTAATTAATAAATTAATTAGTTATTTTTATTAATATAATAATATATTATATTATGAGAGAGAGAGAGAGAGAGAGAGAGAGACCACTGATGACATCAAATTGTATGTCGAAACGTTTGGAATTAAAGATTCATTTAGAAATCTTTGCCTTTTCTTTGTTTGATGTATCGCCCTCTAAAACTCACTCATATATTTCAACATCTAAATTAACTACTATATATGTATACACATATACATATGCACATATATATATACATATATATTACTATATATACACATATACATATGCATATATTACATAATAAGATTTTTCAGCCACAAGTCAAAAAAAGAAAAACAAAACGTAAATATAAAATCTTTAATACGTTTCGATCTGTTGTCCTAGCTCATTCAGCTAAAATACAAAAAAAGCAATAAAATCAAACAGATTTAAAATTATACGTCCCAAAAAAACAAAATATGTGTATATATAGAATTTTAAAAAATTAAAAAAAGTTATCAAAATATTTCAAATTCTGAAAAAGAAGAAGAAAAGATAATATCAAGTAGTGAAAAAATTATTTTAATAATAAAAGAAAACACAGACTTACATAAATTAATTAAATTTGGATAACTGTCTAAAAGCAAACAAGAAGAATTTCTCTTATTTACACATTGTGAATTTAAAAAAAATCTAACTGATTCAGGAAACCTTCTTAGCTCAACATTTTGTTCAATATATAAAATAATGAGTTGCTTTAAATCAAAAGTGTATTTATAAAATTTTGGTTATGCTCAGATAACGCAGTTTTATATTGATTTTTATTTTTTAATTACAATTACGTTATGTTGAAGCATTCTCTTAGATATACACGTACATATATTGTTCATTACCATTCACTTCCTAAACTGATTCAACAATTCTATTATGTGGTGTTTTTGATTTTAAAAAAGTATACAAAAAATTTCAAGTATTTTCAAATTTGAAAACTAAAAGAAAACCTTCTTCGGAAAATATCTTTTTTAAAAAATAAGTAAAAATGCCTGAAAATGGTAAAGGAATAATAGTATCAACAAGTAACGAAACATTATTCATATTAGTTTTATTATTATTGCAATATTAAAAAAATACGTTTTTTTATAATATGAATAACTAATTTTAACGGGTATGAATTGTCCACAAAAATTTCGCGGATTAAATCTATATTTTTATTCCAAAACATTAAATTACTCGAAACAATAGCTCAATTCATGAAATAGAAATTTTGATCGGACGGGAATGAAAGGAAAAATAATTGATGTAACGACCGGACCAAGTTGGCTAAACTTTGAATAAATTTTGTTGTTGTTAAATCTAATAATTTTAATATCTAAAAAGCTAATAGAATTGTCAACCTCTTGTTCACAAGTGAACTGCAAATGTTAACTGAAAGAATTAGAACAATTCAAAGTTTGATTGATACAGTTATTATCTAAACATAAAACAATGCCATCAACATATCTATAATATATGAAAGGTTAAACAGGAACTATAGGTCAAACAGAATTTTCTACAAGTTGTTATGTCAAATCGGCCAAAGGGGGACTAATACTAGAGCCCATTGGCAAACCAAAAATCGGTGAATAAAATTTATTTTCAAAACAGAAAAAAGTATTGCTAAAAATTAATTTTGAAATGTATTTGAACCAAAATAAGTTTATACAGGTGTAGGGTTGGATATCATTCCAACGAACTGAGATAGCATCTAACGCTAAGTCCCAAGGAACATTAGTAAAAAGCGATATTAGATCAAAACTGACAAGAAAAAAAAATCAGGGAGAATTTGTAAATTATTTAGACGTTTGACTGAATTTAAAAAAATTCAAACATTAAATTCCGACAAAATGGTGGCCTTAGAAAGAATGGTAATAACGTGCTTGGTAAGTTAAATTCTGTTTTTATTTTATCGACTTGTGGCTGAAAAACCTTATCACATTATATATATATATATATATATATATATATATATATATATATACATTATATATATATATACATATAAACATATATACATATATATAAACATATATACATATATATAAACATATATACATATATATATACATATATACATTAGGGCGGTCCTTAAAATGGTTATTTTCGAATTTCCTTGCCCCATGGGCTCAAATGGTTCCAAATAGATAAAAAAACAATTTTCTGAAAGTTTTAGCTCTTAATATTAACGTTTAGATAGAGCGCAATTCAAAGTTTTGTATGGAAATAGTATGGAAAATTTTCAAAAATTTTAAAAATGTTTTTTAGATGTAATTTAGCGAACAAATAAATGAATAAAACTTATTCATTTGTCGTTAAGTTATACCTAAAACATTTTTTTTAAATTTTCAAATTTGTTTCCATGCTCTTTCCATACGAAGTTTGATTGAATTGCGCTCTATCTAAACGTTAATATTAAGAGCTAAAACTTTCAGAGAATTGTTTTTTATCAATTTGGAACCATTTGAGCCCCTGGGAGCAAGGAAATTCGAAAATGACCATTTTAAGGACCACCCTAATATATATATATATATATATATATATATATATATACATACACATATATATACATATATATACATATATACATATATATATATATACATATATACATATATGCACATGATTTTCGTATACTAGGGATCAAAATAAGACACTTTGCCAAAGAAACCATATCTCTAAAATGAATTTTGATGTCTCTTGCATTCACCCAAAGATTGGATCAGATTTTAAAAAATCTGTTTTGGATCATTTTTAGCGTCTCAATAATGACGAAATGTATGACCAACCCCCCGTAACTTTGGGAGGCCAATCTACCCATGCCCATGGTTCACCCCCTGGAATCTCCCTTTAGAAGTCCCCCCAATACAAAAGTTGTATCATTCTGGGTACTCCAACATGACAAAAATCTGCAATTTATTTTTATTGCAAAATTTATTTCATCATAAGATATGTAAATAAAACTATGTAAAACTCATAAACTCATTATTTGGATTTTTTTTAGTTTCAAGTCTAGAAAATTTTGCACGGCTCAATAATGTCGTCGCCGTTGCAGCCTCTAGCTAGCATAGAAGCTAGAAATGCTTTGGAAAATTGAAACAAAAAACAATTTTAATAACTTTTTTGTAAAAATCTTTTTTGTGTGTGTTTTAATTAATATCTAAAAAAAATTGAATAAAAAAAACATTTTTTGCTGAGTAAAATACCAAAAAACGATAATTTTTTGCAATATTTGTATGGGTGACCCTTTAAGGGGAGGTCCCAAGGGGTAAACTATAGGTATGGGTGGATATCGGTCTTCGAAAGTTAGTTGGGGTCTGTTATACATTTGGACGCGATTGGAGCATTGGAGAAATGGATTAGAACGGAATTTTTCAAAATTCAATACCTATTGTTGAGTCAATACACGAGACATCACAATTCATTTTAGAGGTATGATTTCTTCAGCAAAGTATCTTATTTTGATCCCTAGTATCCGAAAATTATATGTGGCTAAGCGATTTAAATCGACCCGCTGTAATATATACGTACATACATATACATGCATACATATATATATATATATATATATATATATATATATATTAACATACATATATATATATACATATACATACATATATACATATATACATATACATACTAATTTATTAAATAATTTTCACAAACGTTTTAGGAGTAGGTTTGTCTCATCATCAATGTGTTTTAATTTAAAATTTAAAATATAGAAACTTAAATTAGCATTTTGTCACACAAGCCGCTCGATACACTCAATCGACTTGTAATGGATAACAAAATGCTAATTTAGGTTTCCATATTTTAAATTTTAAATTATAATACCCTGATGATGAGACAAACCTAGTCTCGAAACGTTTGTGAAAATTATTATTTAATAAATTAGTGCCAAAAAGTGTTGCTTGTTCATATTTTCAAATTAATATCTATTATCCACTCCGAATACATTTGTTACACATATATATATACATACATATATACATAAATATATATATATATATATATATATATATATATATATATATATATATGTGCGTGTGTGTGTACCGCACCTACATCAAATTCATATGATAAAAAAATGTTCAATCAACTCCATGCGTAATATCATACAAAATAAACATCAAATGTTCATGCACTATATAAAAATCTATAGATCAAGTTCGTAAATTGAACTTATTTACTTTGATTAATTAATTCGACTCCGAACTAATGAGACGAAAACTATAACAAATT